TATTATTTTTATATGCAGAGCAACAGGAACGTGAACATGTCTTGGCCTCACCCAACACATCTGATGCATAAGACTTTTAAGTCAGTTAAACTTAGAAATGAAAGTTCACCTGCTGCCTTAATATAAATGTGAGTAAACTCTATTTGAAAGCTACCAAGGCTTTAACTCAAACTGTTAAGTTATACAAGTTGTTTAACTAATGCTAGATTATATTTTCAGCTTAAGTCTCAAAGTTGAGTCGACTTACTGTGTTGAATTGTCCATCATGAAAACTCACGTTATCTTGTCTTGTAAACTTACAATTCCCTGTAATTTCAACTTTACAGTATTTTTTAAGTTAAGATGACTTTATAATATTTCACATTAATTGCTATTTTAAGTTAAAAAGGCTAATGTTTTTAAATTGTTTTAATCTTTCAACTTTATGGGGCAAAGAGGGACAAATGACAAAGATGGATAAGGAGCATAACAATATTGCTGAATAATTATTTGAAAGTTAAAGTTGACTTTTTGACCTTAGTTGGCACATCACACAAAAATGGCTGTTTCAACAATATATATATCAGATGAATTTTAAGTTCAGCCTGTGTTTAAAAAGTTTTCAAACAGTCTTTATGAATACAGATGAGGCCTGAACTCCTTCAATGATGCCCATGTCCTTCTTTGTAGTGCTGTAGTATTTTCCCTTGGCAATTAGTGGAAAATGCACAAAACCTACATTTCCACTTCATGAGAGGGACATGCTTGAAGAAATCTGTTGAGAAAAAAAACAAAACAAAACAAAAAACAATAAAATGAGCTGCATGTTTTCAAAATGGGAATGTGAATCAATTTTTAACCTATCGGCATCATCTTATGATATTTCGCACTAGTTGGTAAGAGTGTGAAAAAGAGATGTTTCGTGTCCTTCTACTTGAAACTGCATTTATGTTATTAAGCATTTCTACAAAGAACCCAAAAATTTGGAACATTAAAAAAAAAAAAGAAAAAAAAAAAAGAAATAGGGATCTAAAACTTTTTAATATTAGATAAGTTATATGGAAAATAAATGCAAGTATTTAAACTAATAAAAATAAATAAATGTAGTTTCCCCAAATTTCCCTTGCACAAGCTTCAAAATTAAAAGAATTTGCTACATTGTTTTGTTTAATGTGAGAGTGAAAATAATCGATCTGGGACAAATTTGAGGGTGAGGTATTATTATTTTCTGACCTTCTGTAGAATAATCAATTTAACAACCACCAGATTAAATGAAAAATAAAATTAACTGTAGATTGCAGGGTCATTAGCAAAAGTAGAAAAAGATGAACTGGACAAGCCACACACAAGTCAGACAGTGCTGCAAACTGACAGTATAAACGGGCAAGGATCTCAATGCACAGGGCAGCTGAGAGAGAGAGAGCTCGGTTGTGATAGAGCGAGCAAGAGAATGAATACACAGAGAGAGAGAGAGAGAGAGAGAGAGAGAGAGAGATAGAGCGAGAGAGAGAGAGAGAGCGCTCGGTTGTGATAGAGCGAGCAAGAGAATGAATACACAGAGAGAGAGAGAGAGAGAGAGAGAGAGAGAGAGAGAGAGAGAGCGGCGGTAGACAAACAGCGAGTGAATGCAAGAAATAAACG